CAATCTTCCCAGGTCTGGACTTTTTGTTATCTTATTTACCTCTGAATTTAGTATTTGCTCTTTTTAAAGAAAAAATATTTTTATTGCAATATTTAGAAGTAGAGAATGGAGAAATTTGTCTAAGTAATTTTCTTTCATATTAGATTTTAGAATGTTTTACAAATAAGAGATTTATTTAAATACATTTTTTTCATATAAAACTGTTTTAAATAATTAATATCCGCAGCACCAGAGAAAACATAACAGATCCATACAAAGTAACAGGAAGAGCTGGTTCTATTTAAGCAAATAGAACACCTTCCTTAATGGTGAAATTTCATTCTAGCTATATCACACCATTTCAGACTGCCCCATGCCTGCTTGATTCAGTGATCTTCATGGAAAGAGACATCTGCTCTGCTGCACTCACTTAACATCCACTAGGACCTGATGGTACAGCCGGGTGCCTGAGTGTTTGTGAAAGGGACCAAGATATGGTGATGTCCTCAAGGAGCTCAGATTATGGATGGCTACACATCACACTTTTAGTAAGGTAGATGGCATATGGTTTCATGGAGTTAAACATGTTCAGCTGAGGGAATCTTATAGGTTTTGAGAAAGATCGGGGCCTTGAAAGAATAATAGAATCTAGGGAGAAAAGCACCAAAAGAAAGAGGAACTGAAGGTAGAGAGGATAGGTAGAGGATCAACACAATGATCCTTAAACTTTATGGGATTATATTAAAAATTTATTCTAATATATCCCCATGAAAAAGAATTTGCCCCCCCCGTTCAACTTTCATATCAACAGAGGCTTATTAAACATAAACTAATTGACAGTTACTTTGCAAGGTATTGGGAATACAAAGATATGAGTAACTTTGAACATATATATAGTAGGGTTTTAAAATTGAACTCTATTCAAATTGTGGTAAAATGTTTGATACACAGAGCTATTCTATTACATAGTTTTTTTTTCCTCAATAATTCTGCAAAAGCTCCCATTCTATATTTTCACCAAAAAATCTGTAATGAGTTAACATAGAATGTAAAGTAGTTATATGAATGTGGACACATGCAATATACAATCTCATTTAATAAAACAGATGTCACTGATAGGCATAGATTGCTGTTCATTATGAAAGAATCAGGTTGCGTCATACTTAGAGCACCAACGCTACATCTCATGGCTCCAGGATATAACCATGTGTTTATTTCACTAACCCCAGCTACAAAGCCATTCACAGATTTTTCTCCCAGTTATCTTCCTTTGCTCTTCCTCCTCTCTGAGATTTATCCTTTTCCACTTTATCATTATTCACTCCCACTGTGCTGGAACTCCACTGCTTCATCTGAAACCTTTCAGCTCTGCCAAAGACAGCTATCACAACACAATTATTATACAGTTGATATGAAAGTATTGTCTTAGAAAAGAAAGGATACAAGTCAGTGAAAACTACAGGATGCTATATATTGACTAGAACTGTAGGTATTGCAATGTGATTATCACCATTTTTCTAAGTTTATTTCCTTAGATATTTTTTCTGATTACTCAGAATTCTAATAAAGATGTTGAAAGAACTCGTTTTGAACATGTCACAACAATATGCTAAGAACACACAGGAAAATAGAGATGTATCTATCAAAAGGGGAAGACATTATTGCATTTACATAAATATGAACATAGTATTCTCACATGTTGCCTGTAAGATAATTATAATGTGGTAGAATCCTTGAAAAAGAAATGTTAGCAAATTTACAAAATATAACACTGGTTTTTTTCTCCTTAAATTTTGTAAGATATTAATTGATATATTTCCTTCATTTAAATATCAACATCTTTTCAAATTCAAATACAATGCACTGGATGAATCACACACAACAGTACGAAGAGGAAAAACCTAGGACATTTTCAAATTGATGGGAGTTCATTTAGAAGATGGAATTTTAAAAGTTCAAAATCTTAAAACTGAAAAAGTTGGTCACACAACTGATTTTCCTAGTAGATGTATTAAATTTTTAAAACTGTATTTTAAGAGAAAACAGCTTGAAAATGCACTGCATTTATTATACTGTATCTGTTAAAATTATAGTTTTTCATGGTAATTACTTAACAAAGATACATTTAAATACAAACCAAGTTTAAAATAAGGGGAACTGACTTCAAAGTTATTAAACCAGAGACTTTTTTGTCAAAGCAATACACATATCTCTATGGAAAAAAAGTATATATCAACATGAACATCCAATTAAAATAGTTGTGTAGTAGATCATAGCAAAATCTCATCTGTGAGCATGTGGAAATGTATTTCATAAATCCAAATAGTCAATATAATCAGAGCTTTTTTAGAAGTAGGAATGCATCAATATATTTATCAATTTTAAATAAATAATCCATTACTTTAGATATTATAGACCAGAATTTAATATCTTATTTAGTGAAAACAAAAAATTGCAGATATTTGGTAGAACATGTACAAGGAATACATGTACATGGAATGCATCTCTTCTGTGACATTAGCGTAAGCTACATCATAATTTGAGATAAATCTAATGTTTGAAAAACTGTAAGATAGTATGCAACTTTAGACTGTCATAAATGTGATGTGAAAATACTGGTGCATGTCTTTATTCCTGAATTCTTTGTATTCATTCATAAAAGACTCTTGAACAAAGGGTCAGAATTTGGTTCATAACTTATAAACTCTGCACAAATTTTGTTATGTCAATTTATTATCCACAGAGGGAGTCATTCATAAACAAAAACAATCTGTTATTTACTAACTGTATACAATTCACTGTAAAACTTCCTAGTTCAAAGTTTTAACCAATTGGGATTTAATGTGAACCATAACCAGGGAGTGTAAACAATGATAAATTAGCAGTATCAGAGAAAGTAGATGACACACAGTAATTAACATTCATTATTAATATACATAATCAAATCAAATTTTATTTTTTACATTATCCAAGTGAATATGTAGTCGGAATCATGAAATTTCTAATCTACTCATGGTTTTTGTCAAATTCAGTAATTAAAAATACAATCCAAAACATTCTTTCTGTTAATTTTAGAAATACTAACTTTTTAGAACAAATTATTTACACAAATTCATACAATCACTTGCTGCTTTCTACGACTATTTATTGGCCATTATTTCTGAGTTACATAAATGAGTTAATTGCCAGCAAAGAAATCTTGTTTTTAAAAGAGTGTAAGTGTGAGTAACTATCCAAATGGAAGATTCCTGTTTGTCTCTGGTTTATAGTCTAATTAGTGATTTGTAGTCATTCAACATTTTATAAAACTACAGAATCTAACTATTTGTTTTCTTAAGTCTGAGTTAATTGATATCTTCATAAATACAAACTTTGTTCAGAAATTAGATTTTTACCTCAGGAGATATGCTCCTAAACACAAAATGTATTTCATAAATTATTTTTAAGTATAAAGAAAATTTATCCACGTTGTTACTTAAGAAAAATGATTATAATACACTATAAAATATTTTCTTGAGAAAATGAACATATTTTTACTTACTTAACCTGTTACTTTACACTATAGTAGAGAATCAATTTTATAATGGCAAAATTTTCATTTGTGACTTAGCAATATATAGTGTAATTCAAAAAGTCAAAAGATTATAAGAGGTTATATTTATAATTTGAAAAGAACTTTGCTATGTTTTAATTTTTTCATAGAATATTAAAATTTATTTAAAAATTTTACCTTGGCTTTAATATATTTTATAGTTTTAAAGTTTCAAGTATTCTACAGATAGAGATTTTGAAGAACAATGAAGTCTTTTGCCTAAAAAAGCTAACTGAAGTTTTGTTTTACTTCATTATAGAAAGTCTTGACTTTTTTTCCTCTAAAATCTCATTGTCTCCTGAAATACTCGTATTCAGTTTTTCTCATCAGGTAAAGTACACATTTTTACAAAGTTTCAAATTTCATAATTTCAATAATGCATTTAAACTGAGCACCCACCAAATCAAATTGTCTATTCTTTTGTGTGTACCTATTATCTTGAAGTTCTGTTATTTACACTAAATTTTAGTCCTTTGGCTCCTCAGATACTCTTTAGTAAGCCCTCAGCAATTGCTAACCACTTAATAATTGTGAACCCGCCAGTTCCTTCAAGCAGATCGTTAACCACAAGAGTGCCTGACAATTTCCAAATCATATCCTCTGTCCAAAAGGAAAAGATAGGGCTTTGTGAGGCCGAAAGGAAGTGAAGGAAAACAAAACAAATGTAGCTCATGCTGAAAGTGAAAAGTGCTTGGACAGATTAGTATTTTCTTTTCTGCAAGGCGTCCTGCCAAACTTTTTTTTTTTTAATAGAGAAGAGTTATTTTTTTGTCTGCCTTTTCAGTTTCTTTGGAAAAGTGTTGGTATTTACCACCCCCACCGGCCCCTCATAATTATTGTTGGTTGTTTTGTGTTTTTCCCATCCGTCCTCATAGCAGATTGCTGTTACCCCGCTTCAGTCTGTCAAAACCCCAGCTCCGAGCGACTCTGGTTTTGGAAACTCCGCCGACTCCCGACGACAAATCTCACTGTCTCTTTCACGTCTCATATTTTAGTCGCGAGATTCCCCACTCCAGTTGCAGTGAAAGCCGGAAATTTTCATTTAACTCCCCCCACTCCTCCTCGCCCCGACTCGGGGCCGAGAGCTGGGGAGCCGGGAGGCTCAGAGCACGGTCGCCTCCCCTCTCTCCGGAAGGCTTTAATTTGCACACTTGCTTGCCACAGCGCCGCGAGCCCCCAACCCCGCCGCCGGCGCCGCCGGGGGGTCGGTCTCCCGCTAACTTGGCCTCCGGGGCCCCAGCCCACGTCCCCGCCCCTACAGCCTCCAGGGCTCGGATGCAAGAGCCCCGGCCGGAGCCCCAAGGCCCCCATCCGCCCCCTGCGAGCGGCGCGGGCGGCGCCCTCAGTCCCTCCGCCCTCCGCCGCCGCTGTGCCCACCCCCTTGCCGGAGAGAGTGCTGGTAACTCCTTCTTCCTCCAAGCGGGGGTACCTGCTCGGCGCCGCGGTGGACACGTGCGTAGTCGGGCTGACACACGGAGCCTTTTCTGGAGGTCCGACGCGGCCAGGCCCCTCAGGTGAGGAACTGTGCGCTCTGGGTGGGTGGGCTGCGGGGTGGGGGTGGGGGTCCCTGAGGGAGATTTGAGCACTTATACGGGGTCGTAGGCGAGGGTGTGAGTGGGGATGGCGGGGGGTGCTGTTGTCCTCCAAATCGGTTCTGGTTAACCCCTTATGAACCGAAGCGGGGTACTTACCCACGCCAGTTTGGGGGAGCCAAAGGAGTCTCACCCAGTCCGGCGGAAGGGTTTTATACCAAACTAGAGACCCCCCCACCCCCAACACCGAGATCCCGTGTCTGCTCCCACACAGACGTGTGCACAAACGGCCTCACACTCACTTTCTGTGTTCTTCAAGTGCAATTTAAACAGCCCTCGGACACCCACAAAATAATTCACATTTAGTCTTTAAAACCCATTGCTTCTGGGGTGCATACGGGAGAATGTGTTTCGGTGCCCCAGATCCACGAAAGTTGCCTTCAGCTCGCCGAGGTGTGAGTTTGGGTTCCACTTTCCCACTACGAGATAAAAGTTAACGCAGGCTTCTCGCTGGCAACCCCGCGGGAGTGTTATGCACATTTCGGAGAGCGTGCGCACGCGGCCAGTGCTGGGGTTGGAGCCCCGCAAAAATGCACGTTTACTTTAGTTTTACGTTTTACTTTTTGTCACTTAAAATATCAGCGTGAAAACGCGCGCCACGCAGTGAGCACCTCCGGGCCGGTCGCGCGCCGGTCGTGTGCACGTGGGCGCATCTGCGTGTGCGCACACGCAGAAGTCGTGGTCCCCAGTGCGGCCTCTTGTCGCTGCGCTGGTGGCGACCCTTGCGGTGCTTGGCAGGCTTCGGGAGAAGCACATGAAGGATTTCATTGAGTGTGAAGACAGAGAGCAGAGACAGAAAGCAGAAGGAGGCGGCTGCAGCCTTTGTAGTCGCGGAGGAATGCGGAAATGTTGAAGCACTATGTCAAACTTTTTGAAATGGGGTCAAGTCACATTCAGCCAGCGTGGGAAAGCAACAACAACAACAAAAAAAAAGTGGAGGGGGGGGAGGCACTGTTGCTCGGGTTTTCTCCCCGCCGGAGCCCACCGTCCGGAAAGCCGCGGGGGGAGAGCCGCGGCGGGCGGTGCGGGGACGGGCGGGGGCGGCGGGCGCAGTTCCCTGCGGGGGTGGGACGTCCCCGGCGCTTCCTTCGCTGCTGGGCCTCACTCAGGCTGGGCAGGACTGGGGCGGGGCGGAGGGATGCGGGAGGGGCGGGCTGCGCAGCCGGTGGCGGCCTCTCAGCTACCTGTGTGGCCCTAGGCCTGCCGCGGACCCCCGGGTAGGCTCTGGGGGGTCGTTCCCCGGCTCCCCCTTCGCCTTCACCTTTTAAGGAGAGTTCTGAATGGAGATTGTGAGGGGCTCTAACGCCGTCGCTGTATCATCCGGCCGCACACCGTGGGGGTCGCGCCGGGTGTTGTTTCTTTAATTCTCGACCGAAGGCGAGCTGGCCCCTGCTTGCGGGGCAGGTAATTCTGAGGTGTCCCAGGAATTCCTGACACGCGACCAGCGTGGCGAATGTCCTGCCCGTGGGGAAGAGGTTCCCTAGGTCCTGGATTGCAACTCAGTGGGGGTGGGGGGGAGATTGCACCCCCCCCACCCCCCAGACGCGCGCTTTGTCGCGCCGAGTGCTAGCGGCAGGGGTTGGAGGGGGGCGGGTGGATGCCGACGTGACCCGGCCTTAAGCCGAAAGGGATACGTAGCTGCCACCGACGACGGTAACGATCCTGGGAGAGGGGGACGGTTCTCGAGTCCTGGCCGGAGAGCGCTACCCCCTTCTGGTTCTCTCCCGGAGTCTCTGCTTTTGAGCCAACTTACTCCCCTCCCCCACACCCCTTTTAAGGGGAGGCTGAGTTTTGCTCAGGTTGAACTCAGTTGAAAATTTCAGAGCGAAGTCACGATTATGCTCCTTTCGTCCCCAAGCTATTCTTTAAGACGACACGCTAATGTGTGGCGAACACACTGTTCTCCCACCCTTGGGGTCCCTTGGGCAACTGCCTCCGTCTAAGGCGCCATCGGTCGCCCACCCTTGAGTAACCCAAGCCCAGCCCTCGTGGACCTCATGGGTTTCCACCTGGGAGGTCTCCCGAGCACGAGAAAGAATCCCGTTTCCAAACCCTTTTCCCCAAGACTTGTGTGTGCAAGTCGTTTTTAAATGTCTCCGCGTAGAAAAACTGAAAGTAGAAAGAAAGGAAGCAATTTCCGAGCAGATGTCTGACCACCCCTTCTCGCACACCCCCCAGCTTCGTGTTACAGGGTCCTGGGAGCCCCCATCCACTTTCTGCGGCCCCACGCGGATGGACCCACCGCCCCGCCACACCATTTTGTGCGCGACCCCTTGAACGCTCCGCGGCACTCCGGGAGACCCTCTTTCGGCACGTCTGGGCCCGGGGAGGCGGGGAGGGTGGCGGCGCAACACAATGATATAGGGATAAATATTAAGCCGTGACATTGACGTGCCCGGCGCCTCCCCTCCCCCGCGCTCCCGGCACACTCTGGGCTGCTCGGCACGCCCCCTCCCGTTCCACGGCGTCCCGTGCGGCGCTCTCATCCCCGAGGGGCCCATGCAAGCTCCGCGCGCGAATACCGCTCTAGCCCTGCAGGGAAAGAAAAGTAACTTCGTTTTTCTCGGAGGAACCAGGAAGGATTAAGCGGCCTGGGAGAGGACAGGAGCGCGCGCGGAGGGTAGTGATGGGGGTTTCGTGAGGGAGGAGGAGGGGAATCTGCAGGAGCCCCGTGGTAGGCGCCTGAGATGTCTGATTGCACTTTCTTCTTGCCCACCCCCCCACTCCCCTCCCGTCTCCTCTTTTAGGTGGGGTGATTGTGGACTGAGACGCTTTCGGGCCGAGAGTATGTAATCGCCTTGTGTCGGTGCAGAGAACTGTGCTTCGTTGAGGAAAGAGGAGATCTCGACTCGTTCTCCGGCTACTCGCCAGGCGAGTTTCGCGGCGGCGGCGGCACCAGGGTTGCGCCCGCCCGCGGGGAGGTCGCTACATCCAGCCGGGGAAGCTGCGAGAGAGCGTGCGCCGGGCAGCAGTAGTCTGCGGAGGTGAGGGAGAGTTAGACCGATCCCCGTGGCGCGAGGGAGCGGGCTGGGAGCCCGGGAGGAGGCTAGCGGCGGCCGCGAACGATCGGAGCGCGCCCCCCGCCCGCCCCAGCGGCGCAACGCCCGGCAGCGTCTGGACGTCATGGAGAAGGACGGCCTGAGTCGAGCGGACCAGCAGTATGAGTGCGTGGCGGAGATCGGGGAGGGCGCCTATGGAAAGGTGTTCAAGGCCCGGGACCTGAAGAACGGAGGCCGTTTCGTGGCGCTGAAACGCGTGCGGGTGCAGACCGGCGAGGAGGGCATGCCGCTCTCCACCATCCGCGAGGTGGCGGTGCTGAGGCACCTGGAGACCTTCGAGCACCCCAATGTGGTCAGGTGAGCGAGGAGTGGCGCCCGCGCCGTTGGGGGTCGCGCGCTGGGGGAGGGCCAGCTCTGGCGTCCTGGGACCCGGGAAGATAGCGGGCAGGTGTGCGGGCACACCTGAGCGGGCACGGTGAGATTCACCTTATAGAATGAGACTAAGTCTTGCGGTCTGAACCAGAGCCGTTGGCCTCGCAGACCGTAAGCAGAAACAGACCTCAAAGTGGGACCTGCACAGGTTTCCCTCGCTGCTATGTAACACTATGCAAGTTACAAGTGTTTTCTTCCTGCCCTCCCGGAAAGGGTTCCGGGAAGATGGGTTCCTTTTAAATGGACAGAGTAAGCCATCATGGGGCGCTTGACCAGTCCTCGCTTATTTTTTCTGGGCATGGAGAATTTTTTAGAAAATGAGAGGAGTGAGAGGTAGCAGGATCAGGTGATGGTTAATAGAAAGAAAACGTTATTGGTGGAGCCTAGTATTATTACCTTTTTTTTTTTCTTAAGATTTAAATAATTTTTTGCCAGTCACAACCACAGTTTCTTTTTAGTAAAGTAGCATAATGATAAGGGTCGCTGATGAGCTAAGGACTGCAATGGTGATGCCTGGTTCAAACGGTGTTTAAAATTTCTTTCAAAAATGTTGCCTATTTGTCTATTATTTTATGTGCAGCCTCAGCACAGCCCTTAAACTTCTTCTCCAACAGGTTACATGTGAGCCCTAGATGTGAAACCTGTAGATTCCAAAAGTCCTACTGTTGCTTTTACCTGTGAATTGTGGGAGTGGGTGCAGGAAGCAGTTCTTACACTTTCTTCTGGGTGGTAACCAGTGTGAAAGTGGGTGTGATTTAGGAATATGGTGTTTTCCTAGTAAGATCTAGGAGTTCCCCTGTTGTGTGGTTGACATTGTGTGGTGTGTCATCCTTTTTTAAACAGAAACGCATAGTTTAAGCAATAAAGGTGTGCACAGAAACGTCTACAAATCAGGATGTGGTTTTACCTTTCTTAACTCCTAGGATAATGTGCTGGGAAAAGGAGTAGGGGTCTTCTCCTGTCTTGTCATTCATCTAGAGTATATGTTCAACAAATATGTGCCTACTGTATGCACTGCAGATGAAATTATGTAAATAGGCACAGCTAAATATTTTTGTAAAAAGCCAAACAATTTAATATTAGTCATCAAAGTGGAGAGACCCAAGACTGACCTTTGAAATACCAAACCCTCTATGGACTCAGAGAGCCTAAGTGTCTGCAGAATCTTCCTGGGAGGTTTTAACTTGTGTCCTCTTATTCCAGGCTGGGTGATTTGTGTGGTGCTTTGTTCCTGACACAGTTAAGCACAGGCTAGAAGGCAGCAAAGAATCATAAATACATAAATAAGATAGTAAATGGCTATAAGGGTTGGACACCATTGTACTTCTACTTTAGCAATTAAAGGAGAGAGGGATAAAAGATAATGATACCACAAGAGTAAATGTTTTAAAAAGATATTATTATATAGAAAAGCAATAGATTACCTTTTGTGTGTGTGTCTGTTGGAAAACAACAAAATCCTTTTGGAGTGGTCTTTGTGATTTTTGGAGGGAAAAAAGTAAAGGTACATTTAGTTCCCTGTAACTTATCTTCCTAGAGCAGACACCTAGGCATTTCCCAAAGTATGGATTTCACCACTAGAATTTTAGTACCAAAGTTCTTGTTATAGTTCATTTGTTACCTATGGAGGGTGTCCAATTGAGGGTGATTATCATGTATGTAAATAAATGGCCTTCCAACATAGAGATGTTACAAAGACACTCCTTTGTAACACAGCCTTTACAAAACAGTCTATTCTTGTTACAGAGGAATGTTGTTTTTGCTGTTTTGATGTAGATCCTGGCTAATGCACTTTATTCTCTTCATTTATCCTTTTGAGATTGGTGTGTCTTAAGAGATTTCTAACTGACTTGGATTCTGTACTGAGAAAATTCTGGAGACTGTACTTATAACTTGAAAACCAAGGGATTGTTTTCTGAAATTTTTACTTATGAGTAGTGATGATGACACTTAACCTCTCATGAGGAGAAAGTAAATAGGTATGAAGGCATTTTGTAAATATGAAAGTGCTCTAGATATCCAAGTATTATTCATCTTCAAATTAGTGGGGTCCTTGCCTTGGAGCAGAGAGAAAAACATCAATTCACCTGACCTTTTCTATAGAACAAATCATTCTCAAAATCAGACATTACAGGCTCTGGAACCAAGAAGCTGCTTGAATATAATTAGCTTGTAATTTGTCAGAAAAGACCATCAATCATATGACATGAAATTCATTGACTTAAGAAAATCATTGATGATGTCATTTTCATGATCTACAGATTTTTTGTTTCTTTCCCTTTCCTTTTTGTCCATCTCTGCCTTTGGGCAACTGTCAGCCCCAAGATTTACTTTAGCTAGATTGGGAATTCTCAATTTCACAGGTTGCTGGTATTTGTTCAGGCAGGGTCAGGAAATAAAGGACAGGTGATAACAATTCTTATCTTTCCAAAGGAGAGTTGTCAAAGTTGGGCCCCCAACTTGTGATTTATTGTAGCTTTACAGGATCAGTTTTACAGTCCTAAGGCTGGTTCTTTAAAGGCTTTCTTGAAAGGGCAGAAGCCTATATATAAGTGCCTTCAAGTCATAAGTAATTGATCATAATTACAGGCTCTTCCCACAGATACTTAAGTTTCTAAGCTTGAAGAGGCATAATAAACATATTAGTTTTTTCAAAAGTTTAAGTTTTAATTTTGACGGCTTTGCCAGAAAAGCTGACTTGTTATTGCTGGCATTGGCACTGCCTCTATGCACAGGGATAATGACTTGAAATTCCTGGTTACCTGCACTGATTGTACTCCAGGTCCAGGCTTGATCAGCCACTCAGTGTCCAGGATGTGTGTTCACTCTTAATTTTGCAGATGGAAATCCTAAATACTCACACCTTTGTCAGAATCAGACCCATAGGAACCTGAATTGGAACCTCTGCACCCACAAGTATATCTTGTCTTAAAACTTGAACTAAATATACTTAGATAGATTAAACAATAACAAGCTTTATCCGTTTATTATATATTTTTGAGAACCTACTATGTGTCAGACACTGCTGGAAGCTGGGGATACAGCTGTAAACAATCTAAAACATCTCTTCTAGAGTTTATCTTGTAATGGGATAGACAGTTTTTTTTTTCTCTTCAAAAATTCACTTTTTATTTTCATTGACTTGTTTTGCTATATTTAACCTAACCAGTTCTGTGGTGCAACTGAAACTTGTGACAACTTAGGTTATTAGGAATTTGCTGATTGAATAGGTGAGTTAACCAAAACACTAATCTGAATCAAATGTTTTTTGAAGATTAAATTTCACCTTGGGGACATACAAGTAGATATACATAAGCAGACATTGACATGTAACTAATATGCATGAGCGTTTGAGTTACATTTATTCAGCAAAATTTTAGGAACCACCTACTATTTAGAAACTGTGTGCTGGCCTTTATGCTGGGAAAGATACCTGGGTAAATCATACCTGGCTACTCTCCTTAACTAATTTTGTTTGAAGGGTTAAGATGATCACCATAACCCTGATTCATGATAATATGGTATTGAAGAGAGATACAAGTATATGCTACCTAAGTCATCACCAGGGATTAAATTTGTTAGTGTGGCAGTAAAAGTACTTCAAATACTTGTTCAGCAAACTCAAGCTCATGGCATTTCAGTGAATAAACTTCTGATGTCTAAATATATAAAATTTTTGTTAGTATATTTAATATTGCTTTAAAGGAAGAAAAATCCATGCTTCTCAATTCTTACTTATGCTAAAAAGAGAATAAAAATGTGATTTCCTCAAGGAAAACTGAATCATTAATAGGGTAGAAGAAACATGGCATATTATTTGATGCAGCAGAACATATAGTTCTTAGATGGTTAGTTCATGGAAATGCTTCTGAATAAAAGTTATTTTTATGGGTGAATAACATATTTGTTAGGGTTTGTTTCAGTGAAAGCAAGAAAAGAAGGAGGTTTTAAAAGTATGTTTGATCCTTCATTCTTTGAGTTCCTTGAAAAGTTTTCAGTATACCTAGGTTATTTAGTAAATAAACATTTCACAATATGTATTTTGCACTTGTGCCTTGTTCCTGCAAAAGAATCCAGTACTGTTGAATTTTCGATGATAAACTTGTATCCTTTTTATGTTACTATGATCAATGTGAAATTATTAGAATTTTTCTATCAAGGAGAAAATGGCTTAAAAGAGGGAAACTTGTATAAACTTGAATACCTTTTTGAGGCGCATTCCTATATTAAGACATGGGTAAGAGAATATGAAAACAAGTTATTCTGTAAAAAAAAAAAAATCAACTATTTAAGGTTCCCTGGCAGTATTTTTTAAAAATAAAACATCTAACATTGTAAACTCATGGGTTAGGGCAAGAACACAGTTGGAAGTCATTGAGGGCTGTTATAAGAAACTAAAGCCCAGAGGTCAAGTACTTATCTACTAATGCCATTTTAAATTTGTAAACTTGTTCCTAAAATCTGAGTAGCAGTTCTTAAAAATTCTTTTTGTTTGTTTGATGAAAGAAGTAACATTACATGAGTAGATTTTCTAGGTTTGAAAAAACTAACTACCTGTAAACAAAGGTGTTAGTTTAGGAATAAATAATATACCAATTCGGGAAATTACTGAAATCTGCAATATGCCCTACTAAAGTATTTCTATAAAAAAGTATGACAATTATTCCATTGATTTCCTTTTTGAAGATTTTGGGTAAATAACCAAGGTACTTTAAATGTAAATCATGTACTTACATGACTAAATAATAATACTGAATTCACTTTTAACAAAAAGAGCAATAGGAAAAAATTTAAACGCTTGGTAGTTGTTTGGAGAATAAACTGCTACATAATGTGGCTGTGGCGTTTACTTCCCATTTAGTCAAATAAACGTAACTTCCAAATACAAAAGCAAATATGCCTTACTTAAGCATCTTTAAGAACTA